GGGATCAAGCCCCGTGTTGTCAGGTTCCCTGCTCAGCAGGGAGCCTGCTTCTTCCTCTCCCCTTGCTCCTCCCCCTGCTTGTGCTCCCTCTCTGTCAAATAAGTACATAAAATCTTTTTAAAAATTTACTTCTAATACAAAGACAATGAAAGAGAGAGTTGAAAGAAGTACTGGAATAATAAAGGAACTGGGAAAGGAAAAGTTGAATCACCTAGATCAAGCCTGAGCAAACCTCTTCTGTAAATGACCACTTAGTAAATATTCTCAGTTTTGCCAGCCATATGGTCATTAATCCAACCCCTCACCTCTGCTGCTGTCTGTAGGAAAGCAGCTATAGATAACACATAAATGAATGGCTGTGTCTGTGTTCCAATAAAACTTTACTTACAGACACTAAAATCTGAATCTCATATAACTTTTATGTATCATGATACGTTCTTCTTTTGATTTCTTCAAACCATTTAAAAATGTTCAATCCATCCTTAGCTCGTGCGCCATACAAAAATAAGCAGCATGCCAAATACGGCCCAAGAGCCACAGTTTGCTGTGTTGATGTAGATAATTCAGTGAGGGGATTGTTCATTGAGTTGCCTCAACTGGTGGCACAGGGCCTAGTACACAGTAAGCGCTCAACAATGCTTGCCAAATTGATTCATGCGGAACAGTGTAGGGGAGTGAGCGTGTATGCGCATGTGCATGCATTTTTAGCTACTTTGTGTTTTTGTTTTGCTCTTTGCTATTACTAACATGTACATACAACAAATCTTAATTGCTTAGGAGTTTATTCCTTGCCCTAAAGTCTTAGGGCTAGAGCTCTAAAAATTTACAATTAATTCTATGGAGACAAGAGAGAGTTCATAAAGTGAGGATTATTACATTGAGAGAGAGACAGAGAGAGAGAATAACTACCACAAATAAACTCTGAAAAACAAGGAACATCGGAAATGTAAAACACAATGGGATTTATTTTTTTTAAAAGATTTATTTATTTATTTATTTGACAGAGAAAGACACAGTGAGAGAGGGAACACAAGCAGGGGGACTGGGAGAGGGAGAAGCAGGCTTCCCGCTGAATAGGAGCCCGATGCAGGGCTTGATCCCAGGACCCTGGGATCATGACCTGAGCCGAAGGCAGATGCTTAACGACTGAGCCACCCAGGCGCCCCTAGAAAACTACTTTTTCAAGAAAACGTAGTGAATGGTAAAAACAGGGGGTTTTGTGAGGAAGAAAAGTTCTTTATCAGAACTATTTGTAGGAAAGGAAGTAACAGTGATTGTGATTAGAAAGGCCTGTAATGAATGTATCTACTGGAAAATGCATGTCCCAAAATATCAGAATACAAAAGTTATTACTATTCCTCCATCAGTAACTTACTGCAAATATACAGTCCAACTCACAGTAAATTATAGAGTCATATGTATGTGCACTTAATCTGCCAAAACACTCATAAAGTTTAATGAAGTTAACTCCCAGCAGGCAGATTTATTACTAGTCATTTAGTATGAATGAAGCACATAAAGAATGTTTAACAACAAATATCATGCGTTTTACATTAGAACATGGCCACTAATTGTAAAATACTCAATTTGCTTAATCCTTTCCTTTATGATCAAATCAGACCGAATCCAGGTCCATGTGCTTTATGGTACCCAGTCAGCTATGCATTCTTTCTGACACTTCCTTTATTTTGAATCTGCTCTAAATCTTGTGATACGCCTGGCATATTGAGGTTCATATCTAGCCAAGGGATGAATCAAAAGTTGGTGCTTTCTGGCACTACTCGGTTTAAGTGCTTGGACCTGGGTTAGTTGAAAGGCATGAGGCCAGTAAAAGTTGCCAAAAAATAAAAATACAGTATATTTAGCACTTACTGCCTTGAGGTCTTCATTAACATAAGTATCATTCATTATAAACTGAGGATAGCCAACTTTTGCCAAAACAGCTCTCGCCTATAAAAAGGAAAGAGAAAAACGAGGTCAGAGTTTCAGCACTTAAATCATTAATAATCACACAATGTAGGACGCAACGTTCATCTGAAAACTCTCTTTAGGGAGTGCCTAGTAAATGCAACCTACTGTGAAATGCAAAAAAAAAAATGTAATTTAGTCTCTGCCCTCAAATACTAACAATACAGTAAATGCACAAACAAATATATAGTAAAAATAAAGGTTTCAAAAGAAAGACAATATTGTTATCAAATTCTAGAGCAGAGACTAATTCCTCATGAGGAAAATGCTTAACGTAGGTGACCAAACCGAGTCTTCGAGAATGGGTGGGATTTCAAAATGCAGAGGTGAGAGGAAGGGCATTGCAGGAGAGCACAAGGACAAAGACAGGGAGCCAGAAAGGAAGGACATCACACAGAGAGGAGCAGCACTAGGAGGGGGGAGCAGTAGACAATCCGTAGGAAAACTGGTTTGGGCCAGTTCACAGGGATTCCTGAATGCCATGCCAAGAGTCTATATTTTCTTTCACAGATAGGAGAGAACGAAATGTTTTTAGCAGGAGTAAAATGAGATGAGTCACCCTTCAGCAAGATTATCACATGCAATGCTGAGAGTGATGGCCGGAATGCTAGAAAGATTGGAAGTAGGGGGTCCAACCTAACTTAAGATGTGCCATAACTGTCCTTTTGATAGACAGACTACTGCCCCCCTGTGTTCTGTAGCATAAAGGGAATGGATGAAGGAAAAATCACCTTCGGCACATACAAGGAGCTTGCACAGCAGGGATTGGCCAACTACGGCCCCTGGGCCAAATCTACTGCCCCCCCCTCTTCCCCACCCCACCTCTGGCTCTACAAACTTGTACTGGAACACAGCCAAGACCACTCACTGACATGTAATCTGCAGCTGCTTGTGCACTACAAGGGGAGAGTTGAGTCATTGGAACAGAAACCCTGTGGCCCACAAAACCTCCAACAATTACTACCCGGCCCTTTAGAGGAAAGGTTTGCCAACTCTTGCTCCGGAGAAACTTTACAGTTCCATGTGAAAATGTGTCTCTTTCCTCTCCCCAGATTCTGGGTTTCGTAAAAACAAAAGAGGGGCTTACTCAAAGAGTGAGTACATGGTAAGGAGGATCTGCCCAGATCCCCCTGGGATCCCTAGCATTGCTTCTGTACAGCCTTCCCCAGCATCTAGTGTTTTTTATTTTCTAATGGCCAGCACTTCCGACTCTTAGAAGGCCTGCCCTAGGGCTACTGGAGCCCCTTGCCTGCGCGAAACAGTTCCTGAGAGTTTCTCTACCTTCGGATCCCGTCCCCACCCCAACTTACCCCAGGAGCCTTCAGCCAATGAGTGACTGTAGCAGGAGTCCAGAAGCTCCACTCCTTTGCCTCCATTTAGGACAAACTGTGAGGTCTAATTTGCACTCCAGAGGTCCCCTGAATGATCAGACTGTCTGAGACTTCCCCTGAAGTCACACCCTTGCCTGTCCCTTACCCTTCCCAGGCTGGCCTCCCCCATACCCTTGCTGCTCTCTCTTGGGAACACTTGCTAAATAAATCCTAAATCACTTGCACATGCATCTTCATCTCCAGCTTTGCCTCCAGAAGACCCCACATAAGAGACCAGGCAACCCCAAACATGTTGGTTTTATTCCAGCACAGCAAAACCAGGGACCCCTGCACACATTGCTCTTGTAATGAGTTCTTTCCTTCAGTCCCTTTCAATTTTCCTCACCCAACAAATAAATGGAATAAGATAGTGCGTTTCCTTATCTTCCTTGAGATAATTAAAATATTAAATATCAGCAAAAACCTGAAACTCAAGACTCAGAGGATTTTATAAGTGCCATAGGACACAGTCATAATGGGTTTTGCTGTTCCAGACTCAAATATAGCACAGACCAGATTCTGCCTTCAAAACCCTGTGAGTTACACTGAAAGCCTGATGTGACCTAGATAGCAGATAACTAGCAGTTATGACTCTCCCTCAACACCAAACAATACCTCCTATGTCTACAAGTTACCTTGTTTCAAGACCATTGTATCCTTTCCCTCACTGTACTTAATTCCTCAGTGTATTTTATGAGCTTACCACAAGTCACACGTATAACGTAGAACAAATAAAGAGCTCCCGATAGTTACCCCCCAAAATGAAGAAATGTATAAGCTGAGTCATCCACAATTGTTTTCCGAACACTGGTCTTTCTGGAGCATGCTGATGAATTATGCATTGTTTTTCAAACCTCACGTTCTGGGACCCCCACTGCACGATGGAGCTTCACAGAATATATTACCTTCTACACTGTACATGCGGGTCACTGAATCCTCTTTATTATTTAGCAATACCTTGACTTGAACAGTCAGTAGAGAGATACAAAGAATCCCTAAATTCATCTCCCAAGGACACATAGAGAGAATAAGGTAATAATACTAGTAGCAACATTGCCAACCTCGGGACACTGTGCTCTTCTTCCCCAAATGTACGCCTCCATTCAAACTCAGACTCAAATGTCCTTCTGTCAGTCTGTTGTCAAGTCCACGTCATCCCACCCCACGCCACTCTACTTTCTTCCCTGAGAAGCTTCAGAATGCCATCTCCAGAAATCCCATGGGGCATGGCTCCAGGTCAGCATCTGCCAGTGAGAAGCACTCAGAGGAGACTGGAAAGGTAGACGAGGAGACACCATTTCTTTACTTGCCATTGGCAGCTATGGGCAGACACAGAGGCACCTGCAGACAGCAGACAGAGCGCTCTGCCCGCGGCCTCCAGGCAATCTCCTGAGGAGACCCCTTCTGTGTGCAGGCAGTACTTCACTGGAAGATTGGGCCCTTCACTCACCAGCCCTCCCAATGATTGCATAAGCCCCCAGTTGCCCGTATTAAACAGCTTCCTGCTTGATATACTTAGACGGGCACTAACTTTCCTGCATGAACGCTGATACACCCTTTAAGGCAAAGAGTGATCACGTCACTTTTTAACTTCTCATGAACGAGAAGAATGAAGCACCAACAATCTGATGGCTAGCTGAAAGGTTAAAGTATTCACGAGAGAGGTCTGCAATCAATTACCCCCTGGGTTGGTTACATGGACAAGAAGGAAAGGCAAGTCCCAGGGCAAATACTGAGAGAAGAGCAGTATAAACAGAGAAGGGACCGCATATCATGTTCTGCAAGCAATATTTCTTAGGCTGCTTGTGGCTGATCAGAAATGCCAGAGTTTTCTGTAACCACTGCATGCATTTCCATCCCTTACTCACACAAACTTCTGGAAGGGGACCACACATGACAGCCAAACCTCCTTCCTCAAGGGAAGAGGCTTGAGCCACTGCTGATCTTCACTACCTCTGTGACCTTGGGCAAAGTACTTACTTTTCTGAAGCAAATACTGCCTACTGTCTACCCAATATCCATTGTCCTTTCCTTCTCTTAGTATCAGACCCCAATTCTGCTCAGGGTGACAATGGAGCAAACGAAAAATAGCTGCATCACCCGGCTTCCTTTCCAGCTAGGACTGGCTATGGAAGGAGATTCTGGCCAATGGCATAAAACAAATTCCCTGTTCCACTCCCAGGAATCCATTTTTTAAAAAGGACAGATTTGGGGGCCACCTAGGGTTGGCTCAGTCGGTTAAGGATCTGCCTTCGGTTCAGGTCATGATCCCAGGGTCCCGGGATCAAGCCCCGTGTTGTCAGGTTCCCTGCTCAGCAGGGAGCCTGCTTCTTCCTCTCCCCTTGCTCCTCCCCCTGCTTGTGCTCCCTCTCTGTCAAATAAGTACATAAAATCTTTTTAAAAATTTACTTCTAATACAAAGACAATGAAAGAGAGAGTTGAAAGAAGTACTGGAATAATAAAGGAACTGGGAAAGGAAAAGTTGAATCACCTAGATCAAGCCTGAGCAAACCTCTTCTGTAAATGACCACTTAGTAAATATTCTCAGTTTTGCCAGCCATATGGTCATTAATCCAACCCCTCACCTCTGCTGCTGTCTGTAGGAAAGCAGCTATAGATAACACATAAATGAATGGCTGTGTCTGTGTTCCAATAAAACTTTACTTACAGACACTAAAATCTGAATCTCATATAACTTTTATGTATCATGATACGTTCTTCTTTTGATTTCTTCAAACCATTTAAAAATGTTCAATCCATCCTTAGCTCGTGCGCCATACAAAAATAAGCAGCATGCCAAATACGGCCCAAGAGCCACAGTTTGCTGTGTTGATGTAGATAATTCAGTGAGGGGATTGTTCATTGAGTTGCCTCAACTGGTGGCACAGGGCCTAGTACACAGTAAGCGCTCAACAATGCTTGCCAAATTGATTCATGCGGAACAGTGTAGGGGAGTGAGCGTGTATGCGCATGTGCATGCATTTTTAGCTACTTTGTGTTTTTGTTTTGCTCTTTGCTATTACTAACATGTACATACAACAAATCTTAATTGCTTAGGAGTTTATTCCTTGCCCTAAAGTCTTAGGGCTAGAGCTCTAAAAATTTACAATTAATTCTATGGAGACAAGAGAGAGTTCATAAAGTGAGGATTATTACATTGAGAGAGAGACAGAGAGAGAGAATAACTACCACAAATAAACTCTGAAAAACAAGGAACATCGGAAATGTAAAACACAATGGGATTTATTTTTTTTAAAAGATTTATTTATTTATTTATTTGACAGAGAAAGACACAGTGAGAGAGGGAACACAAGCAGGGGGAGTGGGAGACGGAGAAGCAGGCTTCCCGTGGAGCAGGGAGCCCGATGCGGGGCTCGATCTCAGGACCCTGGGATCATGACCTGAGCTAAAGGCAGACGCTTAATGACTGAGCCACCCAGGCGCCCCCACAATGTGATTTAAACACTCAAGTCACCCCTCCTTCCCAGAACTTTCCACAAGGTACACTGCAACTTGATAGGGCTGGTGGCAAGCACAGAACCGGACATAATTCTGCTTTATCTGGCTGTGACATTGAAACAGTGTCTAATTTTTACACAGATGATCAAAGTG